TTTTTGTGCATCAACACTGTACTGTCTTAATTGTGACTCTCGCGGCGCTTTGTTATCTTAAACCAGTGTTAATCGAGATTTTTGATATCGTCACGGCATCGCATTCCACTGTGTACTGTAAAACACTCATTTAAAATAACGTGGAGGTCATAAAGAACAACCACCAAGCTTTGCAGACTCATTTAGTCTCGCTTTGTTGCATGGATTTCTCTCGTTGTCCAGGTGGGCTGCCAGGGTGAGCATTAGAGTTTTGATACCACCAAAAAAAGATAATGCAAATCTTGCTGGATTAAGACTTAAATAATAGGAGTTAGTCTCCAGTTCTGATTTTGTACCCACTATCTTGTGATGGCATCACATTAGCTACGACAATTGTCAACATGTTGTTCACATTCTCAGCCATGAGTAGCCTACTCAGTATTCATTATTTCTTTATTAGATAAAGGATTAGCTCATGGCCGTGCTCAGACTGAGCCTTTATTTGATGTCAGCTACACACTTAAAATTTCATGGCTACATCTTGTGCTGTTGGACAAACCCACGTTCAGCTGCTTTCATGGTAGTTTTATCTACAGCTGGTGATGCCACGGGCACATTTTGCTCTGATGGCACTCTAAGGGAATCTGGAAAACAATAGCCAGTATGCTTTAGAGGAAAGGCAAAAAAAAAAGGCATCTGGACTTTAAACTTGGAACCAACAGGAAATGCAGAGATCCATAAGGAGAGTTGTGTGTATGAGCTGTGTATGGGCATGCGTTTATCCAGTCTATTTAAGGTGTTTCCAACAAGAACAACATGACAGCATGGCAGAACTGGCCTCAAGAAGCAAATACGTTATAAGTAAGGATTATTTCATGAATCAAAATCAATCAGTGCCTCGCACCTAGCCAACTTAGAATCAACATTTTTCTTCAAATTAAAATCATTTCATTACCTTTGACATAACTATGTGAAATTTTACCTTAAAAATGTGAATATCTTCTGAGTTACAATCCCTCAAAGTACATATTGGATGGTTTTGTGTTTTGTGCTTTTTAATTTACAGTTTTTCCAGCAAGTACGGGAGATGATTTTGAAGAAAACACATTTAAGCCTTGTTAAAAATCGCAATAGAATCACCTTTTCAACCACTCCAAGTGACACAATGTGAAGCTAAAATCTTTTTGTTTATCATAAATGTTTTTTAATAACCAACTCTGGGATATATTATAGTTTCAGTGACAAAACTAGGCAAATTTAATGTCTATCACATAGAGTAGCAGAAACAAGCACTGGCACACTGGACGTTTTATTTACTTTCTGGCAATCCACTGGTGAAAACTTCAGAAGGTGCCTTTTGGGAAAAACTTCCCATGGGTCACATCACCGTGTGGGATACTTGGCTGGTCAAAACATGCTGTCGAATCTGAAAGCTCTCATTCCAACTCTCCTTTTGGCACTAGGCTCATCTTCTAGCCATGATTTCCTTAAAGCTTTAGGTGATCCTGAAAAGATGGTCCAGAATCTTTGGAATGAGGATGCAGAAGATCACCTTGATCACAGATGCTTCTTATGAGAGGTCTTGTTAAGCTGCTGACGGTTTTCTTGTGGGAACCATGGCACGTCTCTTTGCGTTGCCTAACTAAACTTTAGAGAACAACATCCAGTTGGTGTGACACTCGTACTGACCTGCTGGCCCATTACTCAGATCATGCATTAATCCAGATTTTTTTTTTTCATTTACAATAAAACTCATTAAGATACCAAAACAACCACTATTGCACTTCTCTAAATAATACTGAGACTTTACAAAAATACACTTTTAATTTAACCGCGGTGCATAGCTGGAGGTGTCATCTGTAGTCTCGGCACTTTGAATTTATTAGATGTGGGCTATTTCTGGCTCAGATAATAAGCCATAATCATTCCTCACAAAGCTGAGACGAAGAAAAATCAGTGAAATTAAATCCATTGCATCAGCCTGGCCAGTCATAGAATTTCAGTGCATTTGCAATCGTTTAAACAAGGTTGTCGATATGTCTACGTGAGTTTTTCTCTGAATTGGACGACTCCACGCTATGCTGCTGAAAATATGGCTTTGGTATCATTTAATCCTTCTTGTTTCCAGAAATATAAATATATATAAATATATATATAAAAAATATGTCGCAAAAGCAATCATGTTTCTTCCTTTTGGAAAAGTTCATTCGATACTTTTAAGACGCAAGGACAGAATCAAAGTAGAAGATGCAAAAGGTCATTCGTGTTTGCGAAACGCTTACAGAAGAACCTAAAAAATGGCCTTGCATTGTGTTTCTGTTGTGTGTGCGTATGTAAGTCAGTAACGCCTCTTATCTGTCCGCACATACGCACAGGCTATTGCCTTGAGACAAAAGGGTCACACAGTTAACCATTGTTGGTGTGATGATGGACAGCAAGCTGAAGGCACAATGCACAACACAGTGATCTGTAGGGGCTGGCATAGACCAGCACCACTTTCTTTCAATACACACACACACACACACACACACATACACAGAAAAATAAAATACCATAGACCCTGCTGGATTTTGACAACACGCAGAAATCCTCTGACTTTACTTACATAAGTTTGCCTTTTGACCTGCAGTGGCCTATACAGTAGAAATGACTGGCTGTGAACCCATGCATGACAGCCAGAAGAGGTGAACAGAGCGAACTGGGAGGCAGTTCTGATACTGAGGAGAGAGGACTGTGTGGGAGGAGAGGATTCAGAGCTTTTCTGTCAAGCTAAACAGAAGAAAGAATACAAAAACTGGACAAATAGTTTCTCTGCTATACACTGGATTTGAAAGACATTCAGACCGCTCTTCTGCTCTGTATTGTGTTGTTAAATTCATCTTAAAAGGATAAAGTGGTCATTCTTGTCCACAAGTTTACACTGCAGTAAAAACACATTTTTTTCCATTGAATAATAAAAAATAAAAAAAAAATCCAAATTCTGATTTACTAAAATATTCAGACCTTGTACTGTGGCCCTCCAAACTTTGTTCAGGTGCATCCTGTTTGCTTAAGACTTTCCCCAGATTGCATTTGAATGGAGTTCTCGTTTGATTCCAAAACTAGGCTTCATTTTGAACACAGTATTGCTGAAACGCCAAACAACATCTGTGGGTGAGACGTGAAGATGCATATGGCTTCAAATTCTACTCACAATTCTTCTAGCTTAACGCTATGCATTAGCATGTTGCATACATTTATTCCAATGACTACTTAGCTGTCTGCGGTCTAACTAGATCACAATTATCCCTAACCCCAGGCAACCAAAACATGCCAAAAAACAAAAGAACACTTTTTAATCAGAGTACAGCATCGAGTCAGTTAAACTTCTGAGATATTGACCTAGTCAATTAAGTAGCAGAGAGGGTTTTTAATTAGTTTCAGCTGCTTTGGTGTTGATGAAATTAACAACAGGAGGGGCAACAGTGAGACAATCCCCAAATACAAATGGTTTTAGGGGTGGAGGCCACTAACTGTTTTTTTTTTTCCCACTAATTTGGCATTTGGCTAGGGTCTGCGGTAATACTACTGGTAACACAAGGCAATACCTGGACCCTACAGTGATGCCACAGGTGGTCTAGCTCCTCCAGCATGTTCCATTGCCAGAAGGTTTGCTGTTTCTCCCAGCACAGTCTTAAGGAGACAGGAGACAGGCAGTTACTCTAGGAGAGCTGGAATGGACTTAACTCATCAGCAGGACTGATATCTGGTCTTTTGTGCAAGGAGGAACAGGATGAGCACTGCCAGAGCTACCAAATGACCTCCAGCAGGTCACAAGTTGTGAATGTCTCTGATCAAACAATCAGATGCAGACTTCATGAGAGTGGCCGGCACCGTGGAGTCCGATTGTCATATGTTGGTGCAGTAGGTCCTGAGTTTCTCCTGGTGCACAACATAGCCTGGCCTCATGTGGCAGTATGTTTGCAGGCACGTCCTGGAAAATGAAACAACTGATACCAATGACTGGTCCCCACCCTTTGCCTGACCTAAATCCAATAGAACACCTCTAGGACTTTGTTTCCATCCATCCAGTGCCACCAGGTTGCATCCCAGACTGTCCAGGAGCTCAGTGGTGCCCCAGTCCAGACCTGGGAGGATAGCTCCCAGGGCAACAACCATCATCTCTGGGGCATGCTCTGGTATTGTCAGAGCTCTACAAAGGGACCTTATGAGTGTCGTTATGAGTTGCTGAAATTAAATTTTGGAAAATGGACTAGCCTACCGTGTAATTTTTTCACTTTGATTTTCAGGGTGTCTTTGAATTTAGCCCTCTGTAGGCCGATTATTGTCATTTCCATCAAACAATGTTGCATCATTTGAAACAGTACCCAGTATATATCAGTATAAATATCCAGCATGTTATTTTTCCTACTGAAATCTCATGTATATTCAAAATGCTCCTTTAAGTTTTTTGGTCCGTGTAGCAAACTGACATGAGATTGGCATCAATTACCTCATCTAACGTCCCGCAAGAATTTATTAGCATATTTCACAAAATGTCAGACCAATCATTTAAAAGAATTGCACCTTAATGTAGCGTCTTTATGCCGTTAACTCAGAATAATAATGGAGCACTAATCTGAGATCTGTTCACTAATGTGACAGATTGTTGATCTACATTTCAGAGCTGGCGAACATTATTTTACCCACAAATATTAAAATTTGCTTGACCAATGTAGTAAGGAACTATGTGCAAAAATTACAACCAAACAAACAAAACACTGATATCCCATAACAAGATACAAAATTTTTTATTTCCAAATATATCCCTTTGTTTCCTATGGACAAATTGTCCTTGATAAATTAATCAA